CACACACACACACACACACACACACACACACACACACACACACACACACACACACACACACACACACACACACACAGAAAATCACAAATAATCTTCCTTAAACCACTTTAAAAGACACAAAATCCACAAAAGACTTACTTTTGTACTCTGAAACACACTTTCTCTCTCTCACACCCACACACACACACACACACACACACACTAGATAAGGGCGCTGAGCAAACTGTCAACGCCCACACCCTGAATTTCAGTTAGTCAGGCAGCCTCGCCCACTGGGTGTGGCCGGAGCTACGTCCTGATTCTCTAATAAACACAGTCTCCAGCGGCACACCACCCTTTACCCTGCGATATAAAACAATCTTTCACATGTCCGCGCTTTCCTCTGGAGGGCTAAATGTCCTAATTTATGTCTATAGAGCGCTTGCGACGCACACATGCGCCCACTTGTCTTCCTGTGTTACAGTCTGGGCGTCTCCAGTGTGTTCTGCTGTACAGAGGGTTATATAAGGTTATATAAGCATCCAGTCATGGCAGTGCTGCAGTAATGTAATTAGTCAGGAGCCTGCAGGCGAGGGAGGTGACCCCCACACAGAGAAAGAATTTCCCATAAACCCTGCTGTGCATTAGAGTCCCTCTTGCTGACCCTGCCGAGTCCTATTATCAGCAGTCATTACACATGGATTTATGCCTTTCCGACAGTTTTGCAGACATCTGATTTACAGTTGGCGTCTCCAAAAAGTGCTTTTCTGTCACAATTTTTTTCTGCTGCAGTACTTCAACTTGCCACCAGGAGATCAAGACTTATGCAGGTTTTAAAGATCTATGTTGCTGCCCATTTGAGGAACCCTATGTCTATGCAAAGAGAGGCTATGGAGAGTCACCTGCACGGAGCCAACAATCTAGCTTCACAAGTCACTACAAAGAACTTCTTTGTCTGTTATGACTTCTCCTTTCATCGCAGCGTCAGGCTACAGAAAAGAACCATCGAGAGCACAAACCTAAAATACTTATCCTTGTACCAAACATCTGACACTGCCTCCTAGTGGCACTTCACAATAAAGAACTGGGTCTGCAACAGTCTGCATACCAGGTTTTCTGTCATTTGATAAAGGTGTGAAACCACAATAAACCTTATTTATTGTGCAACTTATAACTTGCACAAGCAACGTGATGAAGAGGCGAAGAGACCGTGCAGGAAGGAGGTTGGGGTGGACGGAGGGGTCAAAAAAAGAAACCCACTGGACTTTAACATGCGAGATAACCATTTCCTGTTCTGAACTGAGACTATGGCCATTCAATAACGTTTCAATATGCTCTACTTCCTTTCTCAAGTACAAGCTCTCAACTCGCTAGAGGAGAACTCAGGGCTTTGACTGGCTTATTGTTAAAGACAAAATGTTGGCTGCACTCTTAAGCGTACTGTCAGGATCCCTGAGCTATCTCCACTTTCCTGTCAATGCATCACATTTTAATTGCTGCTGATATCTAGTTTTGTATCCTTAATTGCTCATTGTTGTGGTTATCAGCTTATGAAACCTTAGATCTAGAAAATATAATCGTTCATACTGGGCTCTGAGCATTTCCAAATAATGGGGCACCAGGGTGACTGTGTCTGAAGACCTGCATTCAACATTTCATGAATGCATCTTTCATTTGTTTTATATTTATTGATTGCACGTAAGATTTTACAGGTGTGGCTAAATACATTGTGCTTGATGCGTCCATCTGCATCGAAGACTCACCCCGCATCAAGGCTCTGGGCGCTGATGGAAGCCGATCCAGACTCTGTACCGCTCTCTGCATCGCTTTCACTTTGATATTCCACTGGAGATGTTGAACCTGGCTTGATCCGAACTGCGGGGAGGAAAGGATGAAAGGAAGATGGGTGTAAAGAGTGAATAGAAGGACATAGAGTGGTAGAAACAGATGAAGGAAAATTGTGGGGCCATGGAATTGAGAGGGAGGAGGAAAAAAAAGAAGTTGGGGGTAGGGGGTGGAAACGGAGAGAATAGAACAGCAGGGGGTTAATAACTTCTTAACAGCAATGTCTGGTTTCCAGCAACTTAGCAAGACAAAGGCTTGCTCCAAGTGTGTGTGTAGGATTAGGTGTGGTCTGCATGGCTGCAAAATGGATCAAATCTGAGGCCAAACCCCACGCTGGATTCCTCTGCATGTCTGCTTGTTTTCTCCATCTTTCTCAAAATGCCTGTTTTAGCCTCCAGTTTCTATTAAAAGAAGCATCTTCCAGTGGTTGTCTTTTACTTTCAGTTTCAACAACCTTTTACAATGTCACAGCAGGAGGAAGATGATGTGAACAGCTGTTAATGGGAAGAAAAAAAAGCTGAACTCACAGACAATGCTAATTAGCAATTAAGTGAAAGACAAATTTCCCAGAGCTATCGGAAAGCTTCGGCGCGCGTCCTCGAGGATTGGCAAGCTGTTCGAAATTCTCACAAAAGGAAGGAAGACGTTTAGATTTTAAACCGAAGGTCCTGCTTTTGAATTCTTGATTACGGAGAGTTAACCACTCTCAAGACATTTCCAGCTGCTCGTTTGGCTCTGGAAGTGTAAATTCATGTCCTCATCAGCTAATATGTAAAGGGAGGATGGCCTCGTCACACCGCCACATCAGAAAAGTCATTGTATAAAAGGAGATTATTGCAGTTTCTTGTTATCTGATGTGTTAGTTTCATGGCCTAAAAAGAAAAACAAAGCTTTACAAGAGACCAGATGCTACCTAAACGCCACCAGACTGGACACAGAGAACTTTATATATGTATGATTTTGATTTTTAATGCACCTTCAATGAAATCAGGCCGGGTCGATTAATTGCTAGATCTCAAAGTGCCCCCCCCCCCTTCCCCTCCTCCTCCTCCTCCTCTTTGTGCAGGAATGTGGCAGCCACACTGTTCAAAGTCCACCCAGCCCGGAGAGAGCAAGAAGGGGTGGGGTGGTTGGAAGGGTGACGCAAGGAATTTGGGTGGAGTGTGTATATATATCTGTATGAATGTGTGTGTGTGGCAGTGGTGGTGTGGGGAGGGTCATGCACCAAAAAAGAAAAAAAAAAGTGGTGCTCTTTGTCTCTGGAGACAATAAAGCCACCCCCACCCTCCTCTGCTGCCTTCCTCTTTCAAAGGCAGAACGACCCATCTCCTCTCCTTTTGACCCTCCTCGTGCTTCCTCACCCGACCGCCCCCCCTCCCCGCTACCACCACCTCTCCGCCTCACCTCGCTGCCTTCGCTGTGCGCCCACCTATCTAGCCTCCTTCTCCTTTTCCTCCCACTCGACGACTCGGCGCGTGAGCTGCCAATGTCAGCTGTCTGCTGCTCGTTCGCTTCGCATGGGAGAAGAAAAAAAAAAGAAATCCAAGTTTCCGTGTTGTCTGCTCGCTCCCCTCGTCGTGCTCACAACTACGCTCTTTGTTTCCTCTCAGCGCAGGGATGTGAAACGTACACAGAAAACAGGTTTACAGGATAACTACGACTTCAGTTATCCACTCACTCGCTCACTTGATTGATGACTTTAGATTGTTTAGAGGATGTTTTGAGCAGTGAACAAACTGTTAACTGGAAACTGCTCCATCAACACCATCAAAGCAGGGATTAGAATGAGAGAGAGCTTTTTTTGCCCCATATTGGCTTCTTTTCATCAGCTCCCTGTTTAATCCAGAGTCCAATTTACACATATCTCCTTCTACTCACATATAAGGTCCTGAATAATCAGGCTTATCTGAAAGACCCCATAGGACCATATCGCCCTAATAGAGCACTTTGTTCTCAGACTGCAGGTTTACTTGTAGTTCCTAGGAAAAGTATAATGGGAGGCAGAGCCTTCAACTTCCAGGCCCCTCCTCTGTTACGGCTGTTGTAGTTAGGGCTGGATCAGGTAACGCCGAATCCTGCGTTAGTTACACTGCAATAGGCATAGAAGGCATTGAGTGTTCCTTCTCCACTAACCTTTTTCACTCACCATCTGTTTATACACCACTCTGCATTTGTACAAGCACTATGCTTGCTCATAGGGGGGGTCATGTAATTGTTGGCTTTTCTCTGTATTATTGTAGGGTCTTTACCTTGCTGTAACAATGTTTTTTGGCAATGAATCTTATACCATTGAAAAGCTTGTTTATTTCTAAAGAACATGTATTTGTGGGTTGAGCAGCAGAGTTGAGAGTATGTGCGCTGCATCCATGAAAAACTAGCCAAATCTTCTCTGCCCTTGCCAATCGTCTTATTCTGCTGCCAACACAACCACACTGGCTGACTTGTGGCAATGCTAGTTGAAGAAAAGGATGTATGAGCGTAACTCACATACTCAACTTTGCTGCTCAACCCATTTTGAATGTGACACCATTAAAACAGATATGAATGGCTTTCCAACATTATAAGATTTATTGTCAAGAAGCATTGTTACACCAAAGAATTAACAGACCAACCACAAATATCTCTAATAATAATAATGGATTGCATTTATATAGCGCTTTTCAAGGCACCCAAAGCACTTTACAATTCCACTATAGAGATTGAAAATGTGACGTCATTCAGGGGTAAAACCGCAAAGAATTCTGGGAACTCGTGGCAAGAGGTACTAGCGCACGCAGGCTTTCAATTTAAATCAGTTACACAGCGATAAAAAGAAACACAAAAAAATGGCAAGAAGCTGTTGTATTATTAACTGCAATAGCCAGTCGCATGACAGCCACGGGAAGCCGACGGGTAAAGAGATCGGTTGTTATCGGATCACGTCGTTGAAGAGAAATTGTTCGAGCCGTGTTTCCGAAGTAACAAAGAGCCAACGGATGGCCTGGATTGCAGCCATTCAAAGACCAAATATAACATCCCAGAACACTCCAGCTCACATGTTAGTCTGCTCCAAGCATTTACACAAAGGTCAGAGTTTTGTAGTAGTTAATACGTCATTTTTCATAACATAATTGGTGATATAGGTTACAAGCAAGTCTGGCGCTGAACAGAAATTGTCGCGCTATGCTCCTTTGTTTATTGTGCATAAATAGTGAATTGTCCTGACACAACATTGCGTTGTATTCACAGGGTAAAACAGTTGTTTTGTATCACTAATAGCCCAGTGCGATTACAGCATACAATATTATTGTCACTGCTACATTTCTGTAATGCTACCAGAAATTATTTCCACTACTAATTAATTATCGTTGAGCTCAAAGGTCCTATTAATAAACAGTTAACGAATGTGTATTTATGAAGATGATTTGTGAGACTGGTAAACTTATGATAGGTACGATGGTCTTTCGTTCTACACGGTGCATTTCAAGGTCCTGCACCCATCCGTCGGTAAACTGTACCTGGGCTTGTTGCAGTGACCTGAAGTTACTAAACTTCATGAGTGCATGCACTCACTCCAAGAACCACATAGTTATAAATATGAGCGTGGTGAAAGTTGGGCAGCACGCTAACATATTTTGTCCACTCTGTGTGCTCGTAAGGGTCTGACCCTTTCACTCCTTTGATTTTTTTCCTCGTATCTTTTCTTTGACTTTTCATCAAGTCTGTCTTTGTACGGACCGGCATTGTTCTCCTTCGTTTTGTACATTCCTTTTTTGGGGGGCAAAGAAAAAGCAAGAATTTATTGGAACCGGAGAATGAACGTTTTGCGGTGCTGCAAATGCTTGCATTTGATGCGGTACTTGGATTGTTTTGCCACGAGTTCCCGGCATTCAATGCGCGAAAGTCACGTGGTCTGTCAATCTCTATTCATTCACTCTCACATTCACACACTGGTGGAGGCAGCTACAGTTGTAGCCACAGCTGCCCTGGGGCAGACTGACAGAAGCGAGGCTGCCATATCGCGCCATCGGCCCCTCTGACCAACACCAGTAGGCGGTAGGTGAAGTGTCTTGCCCAAGGACACAACAACCAGGACAGAGAGCCTGGGGATCGAACTGGCGACCTTCCGGTTACAGATGCGCTTGCCTGAGCCACGGTCGCCCTACATTTCATACTACCAACATTTGAGATCATTTCTAGTTTTAAGTACATCATATTGTGTGGATTACACAGTCCTTAGTGCCTCAGTATCTTGCATCTTAACCTGTCGTTAAAGTGCTTTTGCTCCTTTACTGAAGTCAAATGAAAAGTACAATCAAATCACAAAATAAAACTCTGACCCCAGACAGACATATAGATCACCAGGTTAAGTAATTTCCCCGCAGCATCACTGTTAGGTGTGGCAACCAGGGCAGCACTGCAGAAACAAGCCTGATCTAAAGTTAATCTTCAATACAGAAAGACTGCAAGTCAACATGAAACATGATGTTATGTCAGCACATTACTCACTGACAGGAATACCAATTGTAAACAGATAGGCAATGAGTTATGGAGAGGTGGGCAGTTTATTTGGAGAGAAAGAGGGCCTTCATGATGACTAATTAGTTTGACCTACTGGCACGCGGCATGTGCACTGAATTTAGATCATTTTCCAAGAGGTTAGGATTTACGTGCCCAGTTATCGCGGTTTTTAAAGGACAACAATTCAAAGAAAAAGGATATCAGATATTGTGCTGTCACCAAACCAGCAGCTTTGTTACAATGGCAGCAAAAATTACAAAAGGGCTTGTTATTACTTCACTGAATTCTGTTCTACTTGATCTAATAGAAAGGTAATAAAGGAGCAGGGGTGGACTGAAATAATACTTCTCCAACCCCAAACCCCTTAGGCTAACCCTATATCTAATTTTTGGAGGGGCTGTCACAATATTAGAATTTCTGTACCCGTTTAAAATAAGTTTAAACAAAGACTCTTTGGAAAAAAAAACAACCAACCAAAAAAAAGGAAAAAAAGAAAAATGTTATCAGTAAGGTGCGTCTTGTCTCTTCTTGGCAAATGAATTTAGCTCAAAATAGGAATAAAGGCAGATGTAGAGAGAGTCAGTATCAGAACCAAAACAACTATCACGGTTACCTTCAATAGCAATAAGCATACACATGACAGCCCTCAGGCTGGAATTTCAAATATAGATACATCCTGAGTTTCTGAAGTTTGCTGTGTGCAGCATCAAAAACTCCCCACGAAGACACCAAACAGGACGTAGAAATCAACAGAGCTAGACACGTAAATAGAAAACAACAAAACTACATCTTTTAACCAGAGGAGGATGACTGGTTACTTTTGAGCATCAAGCAAAAAACATAAGAAAACTTCAGAAAAACATTCATTCAACTTTAACTTTTTTACTCTCCGCCTCTGCCCTCCAGCCCTGTGATCCCCATCTACTACACAACAGCTTTCTGTGCGAGCAAGTAAACAATGCGTGTCTTAGCAGAGCGACAGTAAGATACGTGTTTGATGGATGCTGTGACGAGAGCATAGAGTCTACAGGCAAAGCTTACAAAGCGTGGACTCTGAGAGATGTGTCGGCTCATTTATGCTTTTATAATAATCACCCGACTGACTGCGTGTGTTTGGACTGTGAAAGGAAGCCAGAGCACTCGCAGA